TTTTTTTTCAACGAATATTAATTGTTCATGATTGTTTTCTCATGATGGAACAACATTATATATGGAACATATGTACCATGTATGAAAGATGTAAAAGAACATGGCACACACACACACACATTGAATGTTTCAAAACAACCCAACGGGGTGAAACAATGACGAAGACTTTATATGTCATGTTTCATTTGGAAAAAAATGAATGAATGAATGGATGTTTAGCTTGTTTCTTTTTTGTTGTTTGTTGTTGTTGAAAGAATTTTTCTCATCCCGAAATATGTGATGCAACAAGAAGGGGAACTGTTTCATTTTTGTTTTGGCCTAATTCAATTTGACTGATGATGATGATGAGATTGACTTTTGACACTGATATTGATTTTAAATGTTGAAAAAATTTTCTCAACATTGCAAGTAAAACGAAAGAAAAACAACAACAACCAAATGGAGAAAAAAACAAAGGGTTATATGATTGAAATACAGGTTTGGTTAATTAAATTCCAGCCAAAAAAAAGTAACAAAACAAACGAAATGGTAATGAGAATTTGGAAACATTGAATGAATGAATGAATGAATGAATGAACGAAGAAAGAAAGTTTTTTGCTTGATAAAGCATTCAGCAGAAAAAAATGAAAAAGAATTTCAAGCTTCAGGTAATGTCCGGGCATCCAATCATTCATTCATTCATTCATTCAACATTTGAATCGATCATTTCCGATCTATTGATCAAATTAGATCCATTCATTCATTGATTGATTGAAAAAGGAAAAGTTAATCAAAATAGAAAAAAATTATTATTATTACCTGAGGTATATTTTAGCGAAAAAAATATCAACATCAATCGAAACTAATAATGATGATGGATTTAATTAAAACGAAGTAATCATCATCATCATCACAAGATGTTTGTTGTTTGTGTTTGTGTATTTGGCTTTTTTTTACAAAACAAAAAAGTTATTTCTGATTATTATTATTACTTTTGGATTCAGTTCATGACTATAGTTCACTTAGGTTAGGTTGATGACTATGACTATTGACTATGATTCATAGTTGAGTTATGTTAGGTTAGGCTGCTTCAAAGCCAAATTTAAGGGAAAAAATTTTTTTAGCGAAAAATAATAATAATTATCATTTCATTTTCTTTCCTTTTTGAAACACATCATCATCAGTGAATCGATTATTTATTAACAGTACTTCTAAAGAATAATCATCATCAACAACAACAACATTATCATCATTAGTTTGATTTAATACAATTAGCAAAATTACGCTTAACACACTTATAGACACTACGGTGGAAAAAAATTGCTTAAAAATGAACAATTTTCATTTTTGTTTTCCCTTACGAAAGAATCTTTCAAACTAAAAACAAAAACATATAAAGATGGTCTTCTTTATTGTTTTTCTTTCTTTCGTTTCTTTGTTTTTTGTTGAAATTCTTTCTAATCTCATTTTACGCTTTGTCGCATATAAACAATTGTTGTTTTGGCTGGATCGGTATTTTGCTTGTTGGCGCCCGATCCAGGAACCCATAGAGAGAGAGAGAGAGAGAGAGAGCGAGAGAACACAAAACACTTTATGGTTTGTTTTTGATACTTTTTTTTTCTCCCTTGTTTTTGTTTGTTGTTTTCGGTGAAGTGAGTGAGTGAGTGAGAGAAAAATGTTTATATTGTCATTAATAATGGTCATTCGGTTTTGTTTTGTTTTTCACTCGATTGTCGACTGACCAAACCGAATCGACCGACCGATCATCATTCATTCATTCAACTATGTTTTTGAAGAGTTTTTTTTAAAAAAAGGAAACAAAATTTGGTTCTTAACAAAATCAACCATTTTTTCCCAAAGACGATTTCATATCGGTCAAAAACAAAACAAAAGATTTTCTGTTTTGTTTTGTTTGTTTGTTAAAATGATGGATTTGATTTGAAAATCGATTCAGACATTAATGTTGCTTATTATTATTATTATTATTATCAATTCGAAAAAAATACAGTGCAGACACACTTTTTCTTGTTTTCAAAAAAAAAGTCGAATATGAAACAAAAAACACTGGAAGAAAACTGATGCAAAACAATTGGATCAATGGAATTATTTTGAATTTCGGCAGTGAAGCCAACTGTCAAAGGGGACAACTTGTTTTTTTTTATTTACTTTTTCAATCTTTTCTATAGTGATTGATGATTACAAATTGTAATTAAACTTGATGATGATGGTGATGATAAATATCAAATGTAATTAAATTAAAAATTCTGTTATCTCGATGATGATGATAATCATTGAAATGGTTTTCTGGTTGCCATCATCATCATCATCAGTTAAATTAACAAAAATGTTTTTTTTTTTGAAAATGGCAATCTTTATTTATCGTTTTTTCTCGCTTTTTTTTCTTTTAGATAATAATTAAGTTGCTTGAATTTCAGAAATAAGAAAATCAAGAGCTTTTCTTCAAATGAAACAAAAACGTTTTTAATTGAGATGTGAAATGAACAGCAAAAGAAAAACTCATTCATTTTCACTAAACATCTTCTTTATTTTGATGTTTTTTCAATTTGATTTGATTTTCGAAACGAAAACGAACAAGAAATGAATGAAAAACTGAGAAAAGAAATTCTTTCTTATCCCAGATGGGTCTCGAATGCAACAAAAAAAAAACAAAACCGAAAGAAAGAATTATTGGCTTAACCAACGAACGTTTTGGTATTTGGAATCTGTTTTTCTCGTTCGATGAGATATCAATCCAGAAGATTCATTTCGAAAAAAAAGAAAGAAAGATTTTCTCTGGAATGTCGTTTGGTTTGATGATGATGATGACCACATATTGTACCCTGATGAATTTGAATTTGATTCGTGAAAATGTTGAAATGGAGAACACAAAAAAAACCACAGAATAAGGAAAAATGATATGGACAAACGATACACTTGTGTGTAATTTAATGAAAATAAGCAACAACAAACAACAACAACAAAATCATATTAACGGTTGTTTAATGTGTTTTTTCTTGATAATTTTCTTCAAAAAAAGATTCATTAGATTGAAAAAGAAATCAATTAGAAATTGATTCGTGAAAAAAATAAACAAAATGATCCTGTATATAGACTGCTGCGGGTTATATGAGTAAAAGTGTGAAATAACGGTAGTGATTATCTGTAGAAGCATGTCATATTTGAATATCAGAAGACAAACTGACCCATCAATACACACACACACACACACTATCACCAATTAGTCATTTTCATTTGAATTTTACAAAAAAAAAAAAAGTTGAATTGAATTGATTCAACGATGAATCATAAATGAGTGAATTTTATTATTTTTCTTTGGTGAAAAATATTGATGATCAATATTGTTTTCTTTGGTTTGAAAATCATTTCATTTTAATTGATTTTGTCACAAATCAAAACATCACAAATCAAATATCAACCAAACAAAACGAAACGAAAATGACCGTAAAACATTGTCTAAGTGGATATGAAATTCATATGAAAAAACTTGGTGAAGGTAACAATGAAATTCTGACATTTTTATCCTGATTAACAATTTGTTAAATTCTTTCTTCTCTTGGTTTTTTCCAAACATCAAGGTGGATTTGGTGTCGTACGATTAGGCATCCATCAACTAACCGGACAAAAAGTTGCCATAAAAATTGTTGATAAACGAAAATTAACAAAAGATTTACATCGAATTAAGAATGAAGTTTCAGCAATGAAAAATCTTTGCCATCCAAATATTGTACAATTATTACAATATGAAGAAAATGATCAATATATTTATTTGATTATGGAATATTGTTCGGGTGGTGAATTATTTGATCATCTATTATCGAAACATCGTTTACATGAAACCGAATGTAAACGTATATTTATATCATTAATAAATATTTTGAATTATATTCATTCAAAAGGTATTGCACATCGTGATATTAAACCAGAAAATATCCTATTCGATGATCAAATGAATATAAAACTTATTGATTTTGGTCTTTGTGCTTGTCGTGATACAAATCCATTTGGTTCGCTTGATTGTCTAGCAACTGCATGTGGTTCACCTGCATATGTTGCACCAGAATTACTGAAAGGTTCGAGCTATTCTGGTCCACCAGTTGATGTATGGAGTACAGGTGTACTACTTTATGTTCTGTTTACCGGTCAATTACCATTTGATTCAGAAAATTTAGCAAAATTATATAATACAATTAAAGAAGGAAATTACGTAATACCAGCACATCTGAATTCAGATGTTAAAGATTTATTAAAACGTATGCTTTGTGTGGATCCAAAAAAACGTATTACCGTTGATGAAATAATGAAACATAAATGGCTAGCAAATGATAAATTAGCTAGGAAATTTTTCAATCTACATCATTCAAATCAAATTGATCAAAATGATGAATTTATTGATGAAAAAATTCTACTAAAATGTTCAGTAAAATTTCCCTCATTAGATATTAATAATTTACGTAAAATGATTAATGAAAATCTTGATTATCATCGTTCAACTTATCTGTTGATCAGGCAAAAACCTGAATTATATCCGGTAAGTTTTTTTTTTGGAAATTTTGAAAAACTTTCAACGTAGAAATTCCGTAATTCTTTGAATTAGGACTTTGATCGATCTTTGTATGAAAAATCAAACCGTCGTCGTAGTCGTTCATTCAATAACATTGATAATCAATATCATCAGATGTTGCCGGAATTGAAAAAAATTGCCAATGCCGTTACTGCTGCTACTGCTGCTGCTGTGGATGATAATAATCGTAGTGAACGACCAATTTCAACACCTAAAAAAACGATAAATTCTTTGAAAAAATCACAGCCACAACAGCCGCAACCTGTACCTGCAACTGAAAATGTTCAAAGATTTGGTGGTTTACGAACAACAGCAACACCAACAGCAACTGTACGTCGTACACCCGTTAATCGAAATCTTTTCAATCAAGATGGTGGTTTGGTTATTAAAAAAACATCGGCTAAACCTTTGGATCTAAAGGAATCAAGCATTCGCAACACCGTAACACCGGTAAAAATAATAAAAATATCCGCAACAGAAAAGCAAAAATCAAAAAACGATAATAATAATAATAACAAAGAGAATACGACGCCGCAAAAAACTACCGCAATAGCTGCAACACCGAAAAAAACTTTAATCAAATGGTTAAAAGAAATTGCAAGTCCACGACCAACAAATCTACCGAAACGAATATCATCAGCAAATGTTCGTTCATTGAAAAATATTTTCATAACTGGATTTTTTGATCCAGATAAATGTCGTAATCGTATGCTGCAATTATTTAATGATCGTCAGATTAATTGTCAGGAAAAAAAGTAAGTTTTTTTTTCGTAAAAAATGTTTTCAAACAAGTTAACCTCACCTCATTTTTTCTCGCCAACCAACCTAACCTTAGCTATACAATACGTTGTGTAATGTCAGCCAGAAATATAATATTGGTTGCCTGCGAATTGGAAATATTTATCTGTTTTGATGATAATCAACGTATTGTTATACAACATAAACGTATACGTGGTGCATCATGGGATTATTTTAAATTAATGACCGATTTACAATTACAATTAAATCAATGAATTGATTTGATTATTGATTATCAATTATCGATTGAAAAACAATTTTAAATTATTGTTATCGTCACCAACATTCTTGTATTTGTAACTAATTTATGTAACTATAACCAAAAACAAACCAAAAGAAAAACTTTATTGACTTTAATCAAAATTATTGAATTGAGATTTAGTTATATTCAAAATATTAAAAATAAAAATAAAAATCAGGATTTTTTACAAAAGTTTTTTTTTAAATTTGTAAAACTCTTTGGCCTTTAGGGCGCCATCACCAAAGCAATCTTTGGATCAATCGGATGTTTTCTTCATGTTTTCTTTTCTATGTCTGTCGATGGAAAAAATGTTATTTTCTTTTCATTTTCTCTTTTTGAAATATGAATAGTGATCATTTTTTGTTTCTTTCGTATTATTAATGTGTTTACAACATGCATACAAACAAACACAAACATACACAGACACAGAGAGAGAATGAAACAAGCAAGTTTTTCTTTCTTTCCAAATGGAGTGAGGGG